AAGTTATGATGACCCATTTTTTACCATTAATGAAACATTATTATTTGCTTCTAGGAATAAGTGCTTTTTACCACTATGAAAGTCGGTCATTCAAGAGTTATTTTCAGCCGATTGCATTCGTGTTCGAAATATCGTGCATTTGTTCAACAAACTTCTAAATGCCAAACGTGTTTAATCAAAATTTTTGAAATAGAGTTCAAGTGTTAAAATATTTGCATAATCACGTATCTTTTTCCATAAATCCATGAAATTCTTCGCAAATTGAGAATATTTAATTATCGAACACGAAATACCATGTATCACGATTCGAATCGAATTAATTAACCTAAGCTAATTAACGTGTGATTAATCGCATTAAACGGACTGGTAATACACGTGATACCGTATCGAAATTTAGAATAGATAATCCTGCAAAATGCGAGCTCTCTGCAACGTATAAAGTTTATTAAACGATTGATACCTGAGCGCTTTGTATAACGGGTGAACGAAATAGAATTTATTTATCCTGAAAATTCTTTGTGAATTTTTTAAAGAAATAACAGGGTGAACGTAAATTAATTTTTAATCAAGAAATTGGAGGATAAATATATTTTTAATTGATCAAATTTCTAAAAATAAATAGTACAGATATATTTGAAGACATATCTACAAATATAGATTTAACAAAATATAATATTGTAACAGATAAAAACTATCAGATATCTTTTTATTTTTTTCTCTGAAGTATTAAAATATCTGATAAGGCAATAATCGATAAGAAATAACTTAAATACTATTAGTTCTAGGAATATAGATATATCTATAAAATATATATATTTATAATAACATTTGTACCGAAATAATTTTTCTATGAAAATATCGATTACATAAATACGATCTACTTTATAAATGTGAAGTGATCATCATTGATATAATGATATAAGAATTCAACACAATAATATTTTGGATTTACGATTTATAATAATTGTACTAATTATTTACCGTGATTTTTTCATGAGAATTGAATATAAAATAATATAACTCATCACAATAGAGATGAAATTATGAGGAATCGGCCTATATTTTGAAAAATTCTTCAAAAAATTGGAGATCATAAACAGATTTCAATATAAAAAAAAATTCAATAACTTTCACTCTTAATATGTATAAATATTCATCAGCGAAAAATAACTTAATAAATTCTCGAGAGCAACTTTCAAAAGTTTTACTCTCAAATATATTTGCATCCTTATTTCTAGATATCTTGTTTTAAGATGCATACAATTGAGAGAAAAATTCTCGAGAATCATTTCGAAATGAATATTTATTATCAATTTTCATTCGAAAATATATCTACTTACAAAAAATAATCTCGATCAATCAACTCTCTCAAATCATTATTTACCTTAGTTCTAATCCTCATTAATTATCCCTAACTGAGTTAATCCAATAAATCGAGAGACCTATCGAGACCAAACAAATACAAAACTCCATTCCAATCATATTTTCCATCCACTTCAATAACGATAAAACCACTATTCCATAACACGCATAATCGTATCCGGTTGGAATCCTATCCTATCAACCATTCAGCAATCCAACAGACTGTGTAAACACCTACCTATCATTCGTCACGTGAAAATAGTCAGCGGTTGGAAAATTTACGACCACCCGTTGTATTATTCGCAACCGAGAGACCAGCGCACGACTAGGCGTGGTCCACACGAACCTGCACCTCTCTTTTCTTCCTTTCTTTTCTTCCTCTGTATCCATTTCTGTTCTGTATCTCTCCGCTATCGAGCCGCTTCAACCACGGAATTCGAGCACGTAACACAATACACCGTTGTGTTCGTACGAATTTTCGGTGCAAATTTCGTTGCAAACTCGCTCTAATAATGGAACGAAATAATAATGCGGGAGACAAGTTAACAAGAAAAATATTTCACCGGTGTTTCGAGAATAATTTGGAAATAATTACGTAAGAGAAATAGAGGATGAAGTATTGTTAGATTAGAGGAGATTTTGATCGATGAATTTGTTTATGCTGATGATGTAATTAATTCGATACGCATCGAGTAATTGTAAGTTTAATATAACGTGATAGAAAAAAATCTATTTTGTGGGAATGGAGTAATGATCGTAAGATTTATCTTTTTTAATTAAAAATATTTGAATTTAAGAACAAACGAGTGTGAGAGTCGAGAATGTACTATGTTTTGTTTGGAAGAAATTTTCTGAAAGGAATACGAATCTTAATTATTAGTTATTTTCCATATTTATTGTACAACTATTGTTTTTATATTTGCTCAAAGAATTTCATACTTATGGTATATTTTAAATATTTCGATAATTAAAAGAATCGAATTTTGTAATGTTCGAGCCTTAAGAAATAACGATCCATTCGAGTTTAATCTTAAAGAGGATGTGGTAATTTAATAGTATTATAATGAGAAATTTGAGATATAATCAATATATGGAGTAACTAAAATAATTGAAATTCATTATTTAAAGTTTAGAATATTTATAATGATTATTTATTGGAGAAAGATATAAGATTCTGATGAAATTTTGGTCAAATTAAATTCTGACAAATAAAAATAAATGAATGGATGGAACACTTCCCTTTTCCCTTTCCTCTACAAGTAACCTAGCAAATGCATCTAGCACAATTGGATCATTATTAAACTTTCCAATTCGACGTGGCTAGATATTTATGAGTTACATGAACGATGAAAGGATTCATGGCGGTCATTTTTTCAATCGAAAAACACGTTTCGATAACCTTTGCGGTGAAGGAATCAAAGAATGTTCAAGAAGATCGTCGTTCGCCATGATTGCATCGCGTGTAACATCGAGAAATCGGTTCAAGGATTAAAAGATATCGATCTTTATCTCTTCATTTTATAATGTTCATCATTTTTAATATGCATGTCAAATTGACATTAAAATGAGAAAAAGTTTAAATTCTTTTTATATAAATTAAATATAAATATAAGAATCTTTTAAGAAGAGAATAAAAAATGAGAATAGAATAAAAAAAATATATTACAACTTTATAATAATAATAAGAAATTAAGAATAGAATTTTAATTTTCATCATATATGAATTTTCAATCATGAATTAAAAAGAAAAGTTATGCACTTAACTGTAATTTCTAAACAAGTATCATAACTACTTCTTAAGTCAGAGGACTATTACTTTCCATATTACCTCCTACGCTTCGTATACATACTTCGAATTAAATTTCCATTAAATAGACCTGACATAACTATTACAATAAAAACGTGAAGTTTACTGACATTTCGCTAGAAATGTTACTATTCCTCTTACTTTCTTTTTATTATGTAATTTTTCGTAAATAGATAAAATAACTCAAAGAAACAATTTCCAAATCATTTAATCAGAAAAATATATTTCATTCGGAAAAACTAATTTTCGAAATTCAATAATGAATAAAATTAAACAAATCAAATACAAAATCTTTCGTGAAATACAACAAACAGATCGATATTTTTTTCCCTTCGACGAAATGGAAGGGAAATAAGAATAAACTCGATCTCCATTAACATTAATTTTATGGAAAGTAAATTCGTCTATTCAAGTCGCTTTCTATCGAGAAACGAACGTCACGTTCCTATCTCTTTAACTAATATAATTAACTTCTTTCCCCTTTACAATTCTCTCGTCTCGATCTCTTCTCGATCCCGTTCGATCATTTTCTACGTTCGACTAATTTCTAAATAACAGTTTACCAGTCGCGCACGAAAGTTTGTAGCACCAAACACGAGCGTTACAGTGAAAACTGCCAACTTCCTATCGCGATTTACCAACACCTTGCGATTTTTCCGACCATTTTCACGATTTCTTCGTAACGATATCCTTGCTAAATCACAATTAGGACAACATGAGATCAACGCTTTGAAGAGATCAACGAGAAGATAGATGAAGATGCGACTTAACGACAGTAAGAAAGGAAACGCGTAACATTCTCGATAAAACATGAGAGGATTTCCTTTTTCAAACGAAAATAGTCGTCGTAATAGAGGATCTTTTTTTTTTACAAATAACTCGCTTCCTCGATCGTTAATTGTCCGTGTGTGTTTACGAGATTCGATTACGAGACGTTATTCAAATTATAAGGATTAATCCGTTCCAGCGGCGCGATAGCCTTCGTGGACAATGAAAGAAGAAAAAAATGAATTAACACCGCCACCATACCAAACATTGTACGCCCGCAACACGGTATCCTTGACACGGAATTGAGATACTCTTGGTTTTGAAGGGAAAAATCGCGATTGATTGAAAAATACTAAGATAAAATTATAAAATATGTAATTCGATCGAATTTTTTTATAAGTATAATATAACGATACCTTGAATTTTTTAATCAAAATGAAAAGGAAAATATTGTATATTGTAACGAATATTGCAATAAATATATTTTATAATTTCGATGGAATAATGAATGACTCCATTTTGTGAATATATCTCACTAAACGATGGTGTAATTTAATAAATGAACTTACTTAAACACTTAAAACTACATTTAAAGTGCTCTGTCTATCGAATCAATGTCGAAACGTTTAAAAAATTGCATTAAAAGTTATAGTCTCAACTAAACTGTGAATAATTTTCAGAATAATTTGAAGTTTCACGAAGTGATTGGCCATCTCTATTTAACAACTACGAAATAGTCAAGACTTTTGTGAATACATTCACGATAAAAAATATAATTCTATTGTGAAATCTTTCATGTTTATCTTACAATGTAATTGCCTATAATAAAATTTTAACAGATTATTATTATTATGTAATAAAATATGCTCGTAACGATTTCATACATTTCAATGAGAAGATAAATATTATCATTAATAAGAATGAAAGAAAAAAAAAAATAATATAGAATAAAAGTAACCAAAAATATTAATCGTGTGTTGAGATATCATTAATTTAAATTTTTTGCTCCCACCTAAATGAAATTTTTCAGAAACAGACTTTTTCAAGATAATTGTCCACTTACCTGAGTACTGCGTTCACGAAGACCTTCAGTTGTGACGAAAAGCAGCAGCACCACCAATGCAACCACCGTCGTGCACCACGAAAATCTCCCCACCATTCTGCAATAATAAAAAATAAATATATTAAGTAACATCAAAAAAAATAAAAAAAAAGAAAGAAAAAAGAAAAAATTGTTTCAAATTATTTTCTTTCAGTTTTAAATATTTAATCGTTTTGAAAACACGTAATAAAATTGTTGAAGAAAATTTAAAGGCAATAAATATATTTTCAATGAGAATAATTTGTATCGATGCATCATTTGTTTCAATCATTTTTTATGTTAACTACTTTCTGCTTTCTGCTTTTTCAATTATGACTTCTTTCAAGTAATTATACCTATCCATTTTCTCTCATTTAAACAAATTTAAATAAATATAAATTATAATGGAGGTTGTACTATATTCTAGCTAACATTCAATATTCGAGAAAAATGTTCCTGATAAGTATTTTTTACAAAATAAAATATATCAAATAAAAATTTTCCAAATAATACCATAGAAAATAAAAAATTAACAATTTTTCAATCAAAACTTAACAATCCTAAATATTTCATCATCTTCTTCCACTTCTTTCAGATCACCCTATACGTAATACTACTTAATGCATGCATGTGTGAAAGTCAAGAACCACCTTCTCCATTTAAATCTACTTTTACTCGTATTATCCTCAGCCTGTTAACCGGCGCGTATAATTCTCAACAACTATACCATAATATGACCGAACATCTATGAGATCACATGTTCAAGTACAATTATACATGTTTCCCAATTTTCGCGTATCGATTCCAAAAAAGATATACTTTCTCAAAATTAAATCTCTGATATTAAATTATATCCGACGTGTCTTTGTCTCGGATCTAGATTATTTTTACATCATCAAGGATGAATACCCAATTATCCACTTTGTTTCTATATCAAAAAGATCGATCGAACCCTTATTTTTATCTCGCTATGTTGTGCCACAACGCCTTCGTCTCCCTATTTATTCCATTAAAAATAACACCAGTTGACACCCTGTCATTTAATAATACCGAGATCGATTATTATTCCCTTATATTCTGAGAAAATGTTAATTAAGCTTTAATCAATTCGTGTTTACACACAATGGTTGAGAAAAGTATATAGCACGCACATTTTATCATTTTATTATTTTTCATCTTCATTAATATCAATCATACTTTCATACACTACCCATTATAATTGATAATATGAAAGTATGATCGATATGAAAGTGAAATCTGATAGAATGTGATAGATAGATAAAAACATATTTTTACTCGAGAACGAGAGTATTTGCAAATAAGTTTTTCAAGTAATCCTTGTAAATGTAAACATCGCGTTGATCTGTTTAATTGAAGTGATATTGCAAATGATTTCGTTATGTCTAAAAAAAAAAAAGAAAAAAATAACATCTCAGAAGGAGGCCAAGGCTCGTTTCATGCCCATAGCTCTTGTTACCCCACCCTGTATATTTAATGGAAACCTGAATCGCTTTCCATATAGGTTTTATAGAAACTGTATCAATTTCCAGAAATAGTTTCATTACTCTCCTCTTTATTAAAATGTTCTTCTTTGAATTTTTATATTCAAATTATTCATCTTTTTAATTGAGAAATAATATATTTTTTTTTTTTCGATAAAAAGATGTACATCTTCAATTATGAAATTCTCATGGAGAAATCTTGCTCCATTAAAAAGTTTGAAATAAGGATATTTTTCTTGATTTAGTTGGGGATAAGAAAGTATTCACGAGGAAAAGGTTTTCCAAAGGAAATAATTTTAATGGCAGAAGAAAAAAAATTTCTCTTGAGATTCTCAATCGTTCTAGGAAATCGGAAATAATAAGCGATATTGAAGATCTTTTTCGCTCAAATAAACATTTTAAACTAATTGATATAACTTTTGCTAAATAAAAACTTTTCAATCTTCTTTGCATCACAGATTTTTAATTAATTATTTATTATTACGAGACATGCATACTAGTTAGATTTATTTATTAATTCATCTAACTTTCGTAATCAAGTTATTAATCAATATCCAGACATCTTTCTACTTTATCTATTTTACACTTGTCATTAATTTATTATTTTAATATTATTTATTTTATTACAGAAAAATTATTGAGATCAAATTAAAAATTTGCATCGTGATTAAATACATGACATTAAAAGAGATTGAATGCGTAATTTTCAGCTTAACGTAATATAATTGATAGAATTATCGATGGTCTAATTTAGCGTAAAAAATAAAAAACCGGTTTGAAAATATTTAGAATTTGACGAATCTATCGGCAGATCTATCGAGGTCGTCTCAAATATGAGGCCAGTCGTGAAGATCGTGAGTTCTTTCCTCTGTTGGCGCGAAGATCAACAAGGAGAGGAGGAAGATCAAGATCAACCATGGATCATCGACCGTACTCGAAATACCGTTAGACTCAGCTGAGTTACGATTCATTAATGAAATTCATTCAATTTCTTCTTGTTCGTTTTGTGAATTTTTTTTTTAACATTCGTTACTCAATCTTTACAATTTTTCTCACTTCTATGTAAATAATCAAATTATTTCTCGTTTAAATAATTAAAAATAATGGATTAATTCGGTGAAATGTAATCATGATAAAAGTGTTTGATAAAATTTTTAATAAAATTAAAAATTATAATATTAAGAATGGAGAGATGATTCATAATAAAATATATCAAAAAAGAAAAATTTTCAATGAAGTTTCTAATAAAATAAAAATCTTTATATCGAAGATTTAAATCCGGTCGGACGAGTTTTATGTGCAATTTAATCGCACGTTTTACAGAATTCATCGTGAATTCATAGAATTCATAGAAAAAGAAGATTCGTTAATAATTTATTACGAACTCGGGTTAAAAAACATTCTCGAGAGAACAGTGCTCCAGACTCTGATTCCTTTCCACGATCGTTCGTGCGCACGAATCTGTTACGCGCCAATCGAAAGTAAATTCTGCACAACGGTATATGCAATTGCACGTATCAGGTTTTGCCCGCGATTGTAAAGCATATTCCGTAGAAACTTATTCAATAGAAAGCGAAAATCATTGTAAAATTTCGTCGATCGAACAAAATTATCGAAATATTCTTTAAAAAAATCGTAGAAAGAAAAATTTCCACTTTGAAATCTTTTTTATCACTCCTCTTATAAAATAATAATAAAATGAATATTATATAGCAAATATTGTAAAAAGAATTACTATAAAACTATTAAAGATTTCCATATTCTGATCTTTATTATCGCAATACAAATTATCGATGATTTATTGCGTTATTTTCATTGAATCATTCTTATTGAAATATCTTATATCAAGCAATATCTTATATCAAGTATAATATTACTTTTTCAACAAAACATCGAAAATTATAAAAGCAAACAATACGAGTTTCTTCTTCTATAATTTCCATCGTAAACTTAACGTTTCCTTTTAATTTTTAAAAAATTTAACTTTTAAAAAGAAACGATCAACAAGAGAGAATGCAAGAACAAGGAAAACAAATTTCTGCAAAACACATTGCTCGTGCATCTCGAGCTCAATTTTCAGCATTATTGTTCGATTTAAAACCGCGTGACGAGCTTGAGGAACAGTCCACCGATCATCGTCACAGGAAAAATATCATTTCGGCATGGACAGCTCGGGTAACCGAGTTTTACGTAAGAAACACCAGGAACATCTGGAAGTTTGAGCGCGTGAAAGTGGACTACCAAGTTACAGGCAACGGTCAGTTAATTCCGCGGCCGGTCGGTTAATATTCTCTGCAATTCCAGCCAGTTCCTCTATAACGATCACGGAACTTCTAGCACCGACATTTTTTTTTCTGATTATCAACTTTTATCAGGTTTTTCCATTATGTGGTCTCCATCTCGGAAAAATTTAACATCTCAAGGATATTATAATTTTTTCCTTTAAACGCAATCGATTCGAATCGTTTCAGTTTTCGAAATATCGACATTCAATAGCGAAACGAACCAAGCTATTTTCTAATGACTCAATGCGCGTATTAAACGATTGTACAAGCGATTTAAGGACGATTGTTTATGAACTACTCGAAGATTGTTTCCATACGCGTATAAACGATCATATAACGACTGTGACGAAAAAAAAGAAATGTAATCTAAGTAGGCTCATCTATTTTCAGTTGAAACGAACGACCTTGCAAAGTTTCAATAACCGACTCATGTTTTTCCCATCCAAGACAAAACAGTTGAATTGTTCCGGTCGCACTTGAGTCCCACTCACCTTGCGGCTTCTTAGACCAGCCTGATCCAATGTTTCATTTCAGTTCACCTGGCCTGCCACCTGGTCCTCCTACACCCTCCCTTTTTTTGCGTATCACAGATTATTCAATCACAAGAATCACAATATTATTATTATTATTATTATTACAGTTTATCAATTCTATTGGCTTTAAACGAGATTTCGAGAAACGAGTTAGAAAAATTAATTATCCGTTATATTTATTACGATTACGATTTTTTGCACATTCGATCCGGAAGAGTCGTCTCGATGATCACTGAGAACAACCGAGATCGAACGAGTCGACGATTAACGACGATTGTATTCGCGGTTATATGCACATGAGACTCAGGTGAGATTGAAACGATCGACACGCATCTTCGCGAGAGATATATATGCACACCGGGTGTTATGCTCGGCGGACGTTAGTCGGCGGAAAGCTCGGAGACAAATGGAAGTCGATCGAACGACCGCCGTGTCAAAAAACCTGGCTCTAAATGGGGGAGAAAAAAAAGTGTTCGCTCGACCATTTTCCCTTTCGCCCGACTCCACGCCACCACCACCGCTACCACCACACCACCCAACAACGTTCCTGCACTCTGCGTGCTATACGCTGCCCCTACCCTGGTGCACAGGTACCTCGAAAGCATCCCCTCCCGCGACAAGCCGCCTCGTTCCTCTTACTGACTGATAGCCACTTCGATATGCGTGATTTCCTGCGATCTGAGATTGTGTGTTAACGCGGATACGCGTGGTCCTTGATCATATTGAATTAAAGTAAAAATTTGTAACTTTTTTTCTCTT